ACTTTTTTTTTTAAGTGCTGTCCTGAAAATTTGGCTTACACTCTTTTATTGTTATCACAGCTAACTTTTAAATGTAGGTTGACAGTATGTCAGTATGGTCATACTGGGTTGTCTCTTCAGGTACACTTTTATACAAGGAAATACTTTTTGAGTGAAAGCCCTTTTGGGGTTAACTTTTAAAAAATAATGTAGGCTCATACTCTTCTTTTTCAGCCCTGATGCTCTGATGATGTCAGGGGCAGAGCAGAAGCAGCAGGAGGGAGGCAGGGTTGACACAGTGTTCCAGCAGGAGGCTAGGTTGGAACACTGCATCAGGTAAGAGTAAAATTACACCCCTGCCTCCATAAAGACATAGTCTTAAAGACTGACTTTTGTGGGCGGGAACAGAGCTTTTTCTTGAGAGTGTTCACAGATAGCACATACTAAGATGGTGTGGTTTATTTCCAAAACATAAGTACTTGCTCTTTTCTACCACTATTTGTTGTTCTACACAGGAAGTAGAAAAGAAGCAAGGTGTGGTATTCCAATGTCATTGCTAAAGTATATTGCTGCTTATTCCAGAAATACATTTTAAATTCTCTACACCAGTGATTTTCAGACTTTTTGGTATCAAAACCCTTTTACATTCTTAAAAATTACTGAGGACCCAAAAGACTTGTATGTGGGTTCTATCTATCAAAAGTTACCCTATTAGAAATTAAAACTGATATATTTTGAAAATACTTACACTTAATTTGAAAATAGCAACAATAAGCCCCTAAAATTACCATAAATATTTTTAGGAAAATAACCATATTCTCTAAAATAAAAATATTAATGAAATGAGTAGCATTTTTTATGTTTTTGCAAGTCTCTTAATATCTGGGTTGATAGAAAGCATCTAGATTTTCTTACTTGCTTTTGCATTCAATCTGTTAGATACATTATTGTGTTGGAAGTATATCAAGGATTAGCAAACTAAGCCATCCAGGTGAAATTCTAGTTTGCTGCTAGTTTTTGCATGGCTCACAAGCTAAGAAATTTTTTTTTAAATCATTGGAAAAAAAACAGTAATATTTGGTGATGCATGAAAATTATATAAAATTCAAATTTCAGTGTCCACTCTTATTTACAAATTATCATTTACAAATTTCAGTGTCCACACTCATTTACAAATTATCTCCAGCTACTTTCACACAGAGCAGCCCTGGTGACTCAGTGGCTAAGCGCTTGGCTCCTCACTGAAAGGTTGGTGGATCAATCCCACCACTGGCTCCACAGGAGAAGAGAATCTGGCAGTCTGGTCCCATAGAGATGACCGCCTCTGAAGACCTATGAGGCAGTTCTGCTCAGTCCTGTCAGGTCACTGTGAATTGGAATTGACCCAGTTACTCCAGACAACAAAAACTTTCACTGCAGTCGCAGAGTTTGAGTAATTGTGACAGAGACCATGTCTCCTGCAAAACCTCAGATATTTACTTTCTTTATAGAAAGTATTCTTTCTTTATAGAAAGAATTTTCGTATCTGTGAAGTACATGAAGAAAACATGGCCTTGTTTTATACCTTTTTCACATTGTGATCCACCAAAATTGAATAAATAGTAGTTTCTTAAAGGTTAGTTCCAATATGGAAGACTGTGTGTGTGTGCATGTATGTGTGCTGTTACAGAAGTGCACTGGTCTGCCTTGCACTTTGAATGACTCTTTTACCCATGCATGATTTTCTCTAGCATCATACATTGATGATTTGTAAAATATCACTTCATTGAGTTATACAGATCCTCTAAATGTGGGCATATTTCATTTAAAAATATACAAAAAGAACATTTGTTAATGTCAAAACCTCCCTTACCAGAGAAGTCTTTAAATATTAAGAAGCTCTTCAGCCTATGGTCATGGGTACACATTTTCCAAAATTCTAATTTTTCGCTTGAATGCTTGAATTTTGTCTTTAATAATAAATATTGACAGTGGTTTCCTTGAAGTGACAGGTTCATCTTTTCATTTTTGAGAAAATGCTTTCCCAGTACTAAAGTATAAATAATTATAGCATGTCGGCTCTTCTTTCAAAAAATGGTGTCATGAAAAAAGTGGTTTATCACACAAGTACTTTTCTTTGAGAAAACCACTGTACTTTGATATGAAGCAGAAATACTTGATATATCCCATTTTGTTACATAGAATATTAAAAAGATGTGTTTTTAAGGCTGAGATTTAGTAAGTTTTACTATTTTATCATGGACAGTCTTCACTGAAACTTGGCATTGTATGTGTGTATATGTGTGCATGTTTTAACTGTGATGTGTGAAGTTAAGAATACACTGGTTACTAGTATATTTTGGTGCCACTGCCTTGATTCATGCTGATAAGCTAGCCGTTTCCTCCACCATTGCTTTGGTACCCTCAGTGCAAATGTTAACACAGGGAAGAAGCATTATTATTATGATAAAAGTAGTTCTGGCCTTTCAGACCCCTAAAAGGGTCTTGGACTTGTAAGGGTCTGTGTTCTACAATTTAACGACTGTTACTCTAGGAAAGTAACTCTATTGAAATAAAGTATAATTATTTGGAGGTAATAACATTTTCGTTTTAAGCCTCAGGAGAATGAAATCATTGACTTTGTACTAGTGATTCAGAGAGGTTCCCAGACTCTATCCTAAATCATAGTTGCCCTGAGGTTAGAGGTAGAGTATAGTCTGTCCCTAAATTGAGTACAAAAAGATTTCGTAAGAACTGAAGTCTTGAAAGCCAGACTAGGCCCTGGATTGCACTAAGATGATATTTGAAACTTGAGTAAGCTAGTCTGGTTTTAAATAGTTCCTTTGAAAATTTTATAGTTAATACTATTTTCATATATTTTTGTTTTCTTTAATACTCAACTTGCTTTGGAAGGGAGGATTTCTGAAAGACACACTTCTTCATTTACCATACTCCTGAGAGAGTTTCAGTTTCAATAAACTCAAATTCATAGCCACTCTCTTCCTTTCCTTAACTTCTTTTCCCTTTCTTATTATAGGGAGGAAAAAAGTCCCAAATCTATGTGTCCACTAAAAACCCCAAGCTATCCCATGAGAAATTTGTTGCTGCTGTTTTATCATAGATAACTTTTCATTAGGTCCTCTCTAAAACCTTTTAGTTAAGAAGTCTTAATAGAATATTGTGTTCATAGTGTAGTAGTTATCATGTTCTCCTAACATGTGAGAGGATGGTGGAACTTCACCTTTTGTCCTTTGGACATTATGAGGAGGGCCCAGTCCTTGGAGAAGGACTTAATTTTTGGTAAAGTAGAGGGTCAGCAAAAAAGAGGAAGACTCTCAACAGGATGAAGTGACACGGCGAGTGCCTCAGCAAGCGCAGCATAGCAACGATTGTGAGGATGGTGTGGGACCAGGCCAGGCTGCCTTCTGTTGTGCACAGAGTTGGATCCGACTCCCTGGCTCCCAACAACTACAATAGAAAATTATCTGAAGCCTTCTTATTTGCTATTGGTTCTGAACAACTCTGACACTTTCATTGAGAATGGATTGGACCAAGAAAGAAAAACCGATCATGATCTTAGTAAAGTTAGTCAAAATAATGATGCTAGGCTACAGATTTGACCTTGCAGAGGGGTATGACATCAGAGGATAACATTGGGGCATTGAAAAGGGGCATTGAAATATTTTGAGACAGTCATGTAACAGAATAAGCAGTTTTGAGAACTTTATCAAAATATTAATAGTTCATTTGGTTTCAAATGCTCTAGGGAGACAACAGGAAAGGAGAATGAATTTAAATGAAGAACACACACAAAACCATTCAATAAATATTTGCGTACCTACCATGTATCGGGTCCTTTGCTCAGCACTGAGACTTGGTGGATTTACTTGTGAATAGATTGAAAGTTTAAAACCTATACATTGCAAAATTATGTGGCTGTCTATCTAGGAATCTGAAGTATACTTTGAACATTTAATGGCAAAAGTCTTTCTTTCTGATGGAGAAGCTCAAGTGCTCTTTTATTTAACTTGCCTATGGTCAAACAGTAAGATAGTGACAGATACTGGAATCATTTTTTTATACAGGTTCTAAACAGGTAAAGTCCTCCCTATTAATTTGGCCATTAATGTGATTTTTAAGACTGGAATTATATTCAAAGCTGCATGAAACTTCAGAAAATTTGAAAGAGAATTTAGTGAGCATTGAAATTCTTTGTTTTATAATTGTAATTTAAGAAATATTTATTAAACTATGTTGTAATTAGAAATATAAGATCTCAAAATAATTTAAAAAAACATTTTAAAATAGCATTATGGATTTCCATTAATTCCCTAATTGCCACTGAACTTAATAATAAAAGCATAACTCTCAAATGGGCTCATTGACTTTGCTCTTTGCCCATGACTGGGGTTATTCCTTTCCTTTTGCTGTCTGCCTTGCAAATATATGCTGCTTTTTGACAACAAGGAAGATGTGTGAATTAATATAAATCAGCCATTCCCAAAATATATTCCAAGGAACACTGAGGGATTTTATTTGATAAAAAGGGTTCAGAGATCAAATATGCTTTTAAACAAAGTTTATTTTATGACGTCACAAATCTGTAATATACCGGTACTCATGAGGATACTTCAACAGGGAATTTTTGTATCTCCAATCTTACTTGAACAGAGAATCTAATTTTTCAAAGCCATCTTACTTTATTAGTATTCCATGGAATATACTTTGGGAAGCATTGCTAGAAATCTATTCCTGTTACCAGAAAATTATTCAAAGCTTGTCCCTATTGCATCATTATGTATAACACTTCTTCTGTTTATTGCTAACTAGATTTTATTTTCATGAAAAGCTGTAATTTCGAGTAGAAATAACTAGCAGGAATAATTATTCCCTGGTCGTCAAAGTGCTTACTGTGGGAATGTGAAGAAAGGAAACAGATTATCAGTTACTGCTTGTGAAAATCCTGTTAACTTTTTCGTAAGTAAATATTCCTAAACTATAACATACATTGCTTATAGAAATTCTCTGTGTTTGAATTGCAGATGTTGGGGATCAGCCAGGTGAGGTAGGTTATTCAGGCTCCCCTGCGGAAGCGCCTCCCAGCAAGTCACCTTCAATGCCATCCCTGAACCAGACGTGGCCAGAGCTGAACCAGAGCAGTGAGGTTAGCAAAACTTCCCTTTTCTTTCATTAAAAGTTAACATTTTTAAGGTAAGAGGTTCCAAGTAGGGTAATTTCAACATAGAGCTCTTAAAGCATGCATAATTGGGAGGCCATATCGAAATATGACCATAAGTAATTGTTTTTATATATGGTGTTTCGAGGTTTTCACAGTGCTTTTTCATACATAGACTATCATTTGATTCCCACCCCTCTTCCTCACCAAAATCTTGTGTGTGGCAGTCCGAGGCTTTTTAAAAGACTTGGCAAAAATCTCACAGCCAGTGAGGGAAAAGGGCTGAGATTTGAATTAAGTCATGTGATTCCCAGTCAACGGTCGCTTGTGCTCTTGTCACATGCCTTCTCGTTCCTAGAAGCAAGATCGGGGATACTTGGAATATTAGTGTATTTGGAACGTTAGCATTGAAAGTGATAAGAGAAGTCACAAATTTTCCATATGATTTAAGAATTTTCTGCATCCCAGGCTATTTATAATGTAGTTTTATTCAATGGGAAATGGAGTGATTGACCCATATTAAATGCAGCTGCTAAAGATACGTCAAATACGACCAAGCATAGTTTTCAAAAAAAAACATTTTGAGAGACACATTGGTCCCGGATTATTTTGAAACTCTGTTAAACATAAAACATTCAAAGTAGCGCCACTCTTCTTGGAACAGGGAGAGGGCCCTCGGGTCAGCTGGCCCTGCAGCAGCCCTGGAAGCCTCTGTGGTAACCTTGGTGCTCTGAGAACTCCAGCTGAAAAACCGCTGCCCTAGCCAGTTCAAGCAGGGCTTTTTGTGAAGGAGTTTTTTCCTTAGAGTTTTTTTGTATCGTTTTTAAGTGTTGCTACAAATATAAAAGTTTATTGATTTTCAGGAAAATGTTTGGAGCTTCTGTGCTATTCCTGTCTTTTAAAACCAGAAAAATACTGGATTGAAGAGCACCCTAGTTAACTGTAGACAGTGTGGAAAAAGGCAAATAACTGGTAGTTTCAAACTACTTGCTCCTTTATGACATAATTAAAGCCAAGATAATCATCAGTGTTATGTTGTGACCTGTTTCTGAAACATTAAAACGTCACAACATGGGTTGTAGAGCTGTTAGTGTAAGTAAGAGATTAAGCTTTGAAAGAATTTGCTGGTAGAGAAGCTTTATAGAGATGATGAAGGTCAGTGTTCTTGAAATCACTGGTTTTCTACATTTACTCTTGACTGTCATCTTAAAAAGCAAATCAGATTAAAAGAATGAAATAGTTCCATTGATACTTGTTTCTGAATCAAAGGAACTCTTTCAAAAGCATCTCAGTTCTAAAACCCAAGTTCATTATAAATACAATCACATGAGATCATTATAGGCTTGGGATGGAAGTCCTTTCCAAATTCTGATCTCAGTAGTTACATTGTCCCTAGTTGAGTATTCCTGTCAAGTTTTGCTTTGTAATTTGAGTGAATATCACAGTTCAGTGTTGTTTTACTCTACATAAAAAGTCAAAATGTTAATAAAACTAACATTGGAATTAAGATATTTTAATAATATTTACAAAAATATCATCTTAAAATATAGAATTCACGTTATATTTTAATTTTCTACCACAGTGCAGTGAAAGAATATTCTTTCAACAAATATTTATTAAGCACCTGCTAGATATGGACAAGGCACTATGTTAGGAATGGAACAGAATAGTAATAATTCCTAATGTTCATGGAGCACTTGTGATGTGTCAGTTACTATTAAAAAAGCTCTTTACAGATACTAACATACTTAACCTTTACACAAACCAATGATGTAAGTATTATAAATCTTACATAACAGATGGTGAAACTGAAGCACAGAGAGGTTAAATAAATTGCCCAAGATTGTATAGCATTCCTAGAACTCCAGTAGCTTGGTTCCTGAGCCTGTCTTCTTACCCACTGTACTAAAGTTAGGAGGAAAAGGCTGTCTCTGTGCCCTCCAGATAGCTCACAGACAGTGATAAACTAACCATGATAAACTTCATGCCACCCAAATGAGGTAAATGCCTTCTTTTTGGCAGAAATCTTTTATATCTAAAATTTCTCTACAGTGAGATCATTAGGATTTTAAAAATTCCTTCTGTATTCATGTGACAGTAATTATTGAAAACTAATAGTGCCTAAGGCACTTGACTGCTAACCAGAAGGCTGGTGGTTCAAACCCACCAGCCACTCCTCAGAAAGAAGATGGGGCAATCTACTTCTGTAGTGATACTGCTTCAGAAACCCACCGAGGGGTCACTATGAGTTGAGTCTGACTCAACGGCACATAACAACAACAACAGTTATATGAATGAATATTCATAAGTCACATCCCTGAAGTGGGTACCACATGGTAAAAGTAAATTATTGTATTTGTAAAATTTCACCCAGATCACAATAAAGTTTAAAAAAAAGAAAAATGTTACTGTAGATTTTCTCAATTCAAGAAATACTTCATCAGTTTTTTCTTAGTATCTTAATTTTTATGATAAGAACTCTCATCTATAGGAAAAATATTTAATGTATTAGCCATTTTTGTAGATAATTTTTAACAGGGTTCTCATTTGCTAATTTTAAATTCTACATGTGTTCTCTAATATCACTATTTTAAGTAATAATTTGAACTTTGAAGCATAAAAATATATACTTTTCATAATGAATTATAAAAAGAGGATTTTGGTAAATGGGGTAGGTCTGTCTGTGTGTAAACATTTGTGTGTATAGTATATGTGAAGCTTTTTTTTCCTTCCTCAGAGCATAACTGATAACCCTTAAGAATCCATTTTTAATAATAATCTAAAAACAGTATTTTAATAAAAGCCCCAAACTGTTTTAGTACTGAGATTTTCAAAACAAATGGAATTTACTATGATTAATATTGACTTATCACTCCACCTCTTTTAAGAGGTATAATTATTTGTTGGTGTGCCTCTTAGAAAAGTCGTATCTCATGTCCAAATGCACCATCTATATATAACACACTCAGATGCTTGGTTTGCTCTCAGTGTGGCCGCATTCTGATTTCCTAGCATGGGGAGGGGTGCCTGATTGGCAGTTCTGTCTTGTGGTCTGGCATGGCCCTGTTTGTAGTGCTGACTTCAGGGATTGACTTGCTACAAATTGACAAAAGTGCAATCAGATTAATTCCAGCATTCTTTGCATTTTATCTCAATTATATTTCATTAAGTATCTATACATATATATATAAAACATGTGCATGTACATAACAGAATCATCTTTCAGGGGTCGCACTGGCAAGTCACACTGACTTGCTTTGTTTTGACCAAAACTTTGGTGCTTGAAATTTACTTCACCAAATCCATGCACAAACATTTGAATTTTAACAGAAGTTACTCTTTCTTTGTCTAGTTGAGATAAACCCTTTTATATTTTTACTTCATGGCCATTTATGCTGCTTAGATTGTTCCTGTCCTGTGTTTTGAGTTTTAATTCTGTAAACCCTTTGAATCTCTTCGATAGAGATTACAATAAATTGTTACTATGCATTTGACTGTGAAGCTGCTCACTCTTCTGTTACAAGATGACCAGTATAAATAAGTATACAGCGTTTATGGAAAATTAGAAATGATGGAATTTCGTCAGGCCTGTGAAGCACAACTTGCAGTGCAACCTCTGAATTACTTTGCTAAATCTTCTCCGGTGATCTGTGACTCCATCTTTCTCATCATGCTGACTGGTCTCTCCTCTGTCTGTTCAGCAGTGGGAGACATTTAGCGAACGCTCTTCAAGCTCACAAACTCTGACCCAATTTGATTCTAACATTGCACCAGCTGATCCTGTAAGTCAATCACTTAGCTTGCTTGTTTGAAATTAATTTTATTAACCCAAATTTCCATTCATTATGATTTTTAGCTGATATGCATGATTCAGTGCTTAGAGGGAAATGGTGGCAAGGCTTTTTAATTTTGTGTGCTTAATGATGTACAGAACATTTTTGCCATTCTTTGTATTTTCTGGTTATTGCGGTGAGAGGAAACTATATGTTTTTAATATATGGTACATGTATTGTCACGTTTAAAGAAGCATTTTGCGACAGCTGATTTAGTTACCTGTTTTCATTTGCTAATGAAGTGTATGTTTTATTAAATTAAACATAGTGCTTATTTCAGTGTAGTGACACTTATGTAAATACTATTTTATTCATATGCTCACATATCATGTAATATATACTATGTATGTAAATATTTTTGCAGTGCTGTTTATGTTAACAATACAAATGACGTGGCTTTAATTTCATTAGTGTGTCGAGTTCTCTTAGATCAGGTTCAGCAAAACAATACTGAGCTGTTAGTCCTGCTTAGATGCCCATTGTGCACAGCAGCTGTGTCTTGTTTTCCTGGGATTTACTGTGTTGCTTTGACAGTGCTACAAAGTTCACATCCTGATTTTAGGAGTAAACTGCTTCCATAGAGTTAAGTTTTTATGCACTCCTGCCTGTCCCACAAGTTATTGGAAAACTTCACAATCTTAGCTATTAATCGTTCTTCTTGCTGCTCACTCCTCTGCTTTTTCTTTTTATCTTTTTCTTTCAAAGAGAAAGACATGCTAATAAGCACCTTCCAAAAAGAAAAGAGGAAATAAGTAGGAAGGGAAGAAGTGTGTAAAGGTAGGATTTTAAAAAAAATGAGTCGAGTGGATAGATACAGAGAAAGTGGAACAAGGCGTTCTTTTCGGGATTGCCTTGTGGTCATCTAAGACATCCGGCATTAACTAACTGTAAAAATGCTGTTGCCGTTAGTGTGGATTTTGAAGAAGTGGTATTTAAGGATAATAATATTTTTTCAGTGAAGTGTTAATACCTATTTGAAATATAGAGAATGCTGTTGTTGTTATGTGCCATCGAGTCGGACCCGACTCATAGTAACCCTTCCTTGGGTTGCCAAGGCGGTATCACTATGGAAGTAGATTGCCCAACTGTCCTTCCAAGGAGTGGTTGGTGGGTTTGAACCGCCAGCCTTCTGGTTAGTAGTCAAGTGCCTTAGGC